CTTCCCTGAAAATGTGGGTTTTCAGGGTGCGCCTAAATGAGAGGAGAGTAGGTGATAGTCTGATGGATTGGGGTAGGGAGTTCCAGAGTATGGGTGACACCCTAGAGAAATCCTGGAGGCGGGCATGGGAGGAGGAGACTAGGGAACTAGAGAGAAGGAGGTCTTGTGAGGAGCTGAGTGTGCGTGTTGGGTGGTACTTGGATATTAGGTCGGTGATGTAATTTGGGGCAGTATGATGGACAGCTTTGTATGTCAGTGTTAGGATTTTGAATTTGATCCGTTGGGCAATCGGAAGCCAGTGGAGGGATTGGCAGAGGGATGTGGCGGAAACGGAGCGGTTGGTAAGGTGGATGAGTCTGGCTGCCGTGTTCAGGATCAACTGAAGTGGGGATAGCCTGTGGCGAGGCAGGCCAGTGAGGAGGGAGTTGCAGTAATTGAGTCGTGATATGATGAGGGAGTGGATGAGCTGCTTAGTGGTTTCTGGGGTTAGAAAATTGTGGATTTTGGCGATGTTGTGGAGGTGGAGTCTGCATGAGTTAGTTAGTGATTGGACTTGGGGCTGGAAGGATAGGTTGGAGTCTAGAATGACCCCAAGTACTCTGGCCTGCGGGGTGGGCCTGATAGTGACATTCTTGGACGTGATGGAGAAGTCAGTGGGGGGTGGTGTGCGGGCTGGGGGGAAGACCAGGAGCTCGGTTTTGGAGAGGTTCAGTTTAAGGAAGTGGAGCGACATCCAGTCTGATATGTCGTTTAGTAGGTTTGTGACTCGGGCGGAGATTGTGGGGGTGAGGTGAGGGGTTGAGAGATAGATTTGTGTGTCATCGGCAAAGAGGTGGTAGTTGAAACTGTGACTGAGAGAGGACGGAGCCCTGAGGGACCCCAACAGAGAGGGGGAGTGAGGGGGAGGAGGTAGCGTTATAGGTAACGCGTTATAGGTAAGCTGAAGGAGCATAGTGATAGGTAGGGATGAGAGCCAGGAGAGAGCGCGAATCTCTGATGCCAAGGGAGTGTAGTTTTTTGAGAAGGAGGGGGTGGTCGACTGTGTCGAAGGTAGCAGAGAGGTCGAGGAGTAGGGGGACTGAGTAGTGGCCGTTAGCTTTGGTGGTTAGGAGGTCGTTGGAGAGTTTGAGTAAGGCAGTTTCGGTGGAGTGTAGGGGACGGAAGCCGTACTGGAGGGGATCGAGGAGGTTGTTGTCGTTGAGGTGAGAGCTTAGGCGATTGTAGACTAAGCGCTCGAGGAGTTTGGATGTGAATGGGAGCAGGGAGATGGGTCTGAGGTTGTTCGGGTCCAGGGAGGGCTTTTAATAGTGATAAGGCATTTACACTTCCTCTGCACAGTAGTTTAATCCAGAAGTGCCAATGCATAACGTTTGGGGTGATGTAGGTCTCTAAATTAGCCAGAAGTGGATGTGTGTACATTAGGTTTGGGTGTTCCCAATAAAAATACTTGTTATTGGGACTTTTGGCAGAAGGTGTATCTGTAGTCTACTTTTAACATATTTGCCAGGCTTTGGTGAAAAAAAAAAATGTATTGTTTACAGAGCTAGAGCTCATATGACACATAAATGATGGTCACGCTCTCTCTCCTTCTCTCCCACTCTGTATATACAATTAAATATATACTGTACATATGCAATCGATTTAGGCAGGTGTGACGAGATGCTGTAAAGTAATAATGCTTAAAAAATTTATATATTAATTGTTTATTCTTATCAATTTACAAAATGCAAAGTGAGCACACAGAAGAAAAATCTAAATCAAATCAATATTTGGTGTGACTACCCTTTGGCTTCAAACCAGCATCAATTCTTACACGTGCACACTTTGTACACTTTCACTTGCAAAGTTAGGGATTTTGTAGGATTTGAGTCAAGAGTGTGATTAATCATTTATACCAAGCAGGTGCTAATGGCCATAATTTTCATGTGTAGGTTGAAATACAGTCATTAACTGAAAGAGAAACAGCTGTTTAGGGGGCTTAAAACTCTGTAGCCAAACTTTGTTACTAAGTTTGTGGAAGTGTCCTTGGTAAGAGGCTGAATTGACAAGAGGTCCGAGCACCCCTGAATGTGGTGGTAGAGGTACAAAGTTAAAAAAAAGCACAGGTGCCAGTAGATTGATAACAGATGACTGCCACGGTCAGAGATGAAGTCAAGGTGAGCCAGGGTCATACACAGTGAGACAGCAGAGTGGTCAGGAAGCAGGCCAGGGTTGGTACCAGGGAAGCAGGTAGAGCAGAGTCCAGTAGCAAGCCGAGGTCAGTACCAGGAGATCAAGTAGAGAATAGTCAGAGGCAAGCTGAGCTCAGAATCCAGAATCCACAGAGCAAGGTCAGGAACAAGCTGGGTCAGCAAAGGAAAATCAGTCAGCATAAACATGAACACAGGCACATGGATCACGGGAAGCTGCAGAAGATCCAGCAATTAGCACACAGCAGTGTCTACTTTAAATACGTAGCTTGGTGCCATTGTGGGAGGACATGCACACTGATGCGGCTGGCTCACAGAAATGTGTCTATGTGTCAGTGCATGCTGGATACTAGCTCAAGCTTGTCTGTGTACTGGTAAATGTGCACGGGCATTAGCTACACAGGAATGAGCAGTAGCTGCACAAGAATTAGCATTAGCAGTACTAGTTTCCTGACAAGAAGACAGCTAATGTCACATGTCATACACCATGTCCAGACTGAGCCCAGCAACAAGACACAAGGTAGTTATACTGCATCAAGCTCTTTGAAGAAGCACAAAGAAAATGGGCGATGTTGAGGACTGTAGATGCAGTGGCCGGCCAAGGAAACTTCATGCAGCTGCACATCATACTTACTTTCCTTCTAAATCAGAAGATGGTCAGTGGCTCCATTAGCACAGAACTGTTAGAAACCAGTAGGACCCAGGTGAAGTCTGGCCAGAAGCAGTCTTCATGGAGGAAGTGCAGCCAAAAAGCCATACTGTACCTCCAATGTGGAAACAAGGCTACTCAACTATGCACTAAAACATAGAAAGTGGTGTGAAGAAAAGTGGTAGCAGGTGCTCTGGACTGATGAGTCAAAATTTGAAACATCTGGCTGTAGCAGGAGGCAGTTTGTTTGTCATAGGGCTTGTGAGTAGTACAATCATGAATGCTTGCATTTCTGCAAATGGAGTTGGAGATCTGGTCAGTATCAATAGTGTCTCTAATGCTGACAAATACAGGCAGATACTTATCCATCATACCATACCATCAAGGAGTTATGTAATTGGCCCAAAATGTATTCTACAGCAGGACAACGACCCCAAACATACAGCCAATGTCATTAAGAACTATCATCAGAAGACGAACAAGGAGTCATGGAAGTAATGGTTTGGACCCCACAGATCTTTGATCTCAACATCATTGAGTCTGTCTCGGATTACATGAAGAGACATAATGATTTCTGTGAGCAGATAGCGAGGGGCGAGGTTGAGCTTCGTTGTGTGTGTCAATAGATGCACACAGTCCAATTCAACAGCAAGCCTGCAGGTGCACCCCTTGGCTTCCTATGGAAGCACGCCAAGAAGAGGATCCTAGAGCTCTGGTGGGGGAACCAAGAAGAGGAGGTTCGGAGCTGCTCTGTGCAATACCATTGCACAGAGTAGGAAAGTATAACATGTTTAATACTTTATTTAAAAAAATAAGCTTTAGAATCACTTTAATAATTACCACAGACTATTAACCACTTCCCGACCGGCTGTTGCATATAAACGGCCGGACGGTGGCACTGCAGGGTCGGGTGGCCGTTTATAAACAGCCTCCCCGCACCCTGCTTGTGCACGCTCCCTGGGAGCACGCAGCACCGCGATCCGGTGCCCGCTGTGTCCTCCGGACACAGTGAAACACCGATCGTCGGACGGGACCTCTGTACGAGGTCCCGATCATGTGATCACTGATTGGCCAATCAGTGATCACATGCAAAGTAGTAAGCAAGATGTCACTTGTGACATCATTGCTTACTACGTGTGAAATCTGTGAATGATCACAGAGGTCACATGGTACAAGGCTATTCACAACAGCCTTGTACCATGTGACAAGCTGTGACCAATCACAGTTCACTCAGTACTACTCAATGAGTGCAAGAATGCACACAGAGAGAAGGAGAAATGATTGCTTTTACATCCTATAGGGGTGTAAAAGCAATCAGTGTAAAAAAAAAAAAAAAAAAAAAAAAAATCTTCATCACAACCCACCATGGTGACACTGTACTACTAGGGTGATAGTATGTAAAAAATAAAATAAAAATAAAAAATAATAGAAAAAAATAAAATAAAAATGTAAAAAAAAAATATTTAAAAATTATAATTTTTGGTTATAAACTAATTTGGATTTTTTTTTTTTTTACTAAAAAGATAACGGAATAAATTTTGGCCAAGATTTATGACGAAATATTATTTATTTGAAAAATTTTATTAAAAAAACACTTTTTTTTTTCAAAAGTTTTGGACATTTTCATTTACATAGCAAAAAAAATAAAAATCCCAGCAGTGAATAAATACCACCAAAATAAATCTTTATCTGTCTCAAAAAAATGGTAAAAAATTCATTTGGATACAGTGTTGCATGACCGCGCTATGGTCATTCAAAGTGTGATAGCGCTGAAAGCTGAAAATTGCCCTGGTCAGGAAGGGGGTAAAAGTGTCCGGACTGGAAGTGGTTAAGCAACTTCAAGGAAGAAATATTCACTAAAGTTTGTGAAGATGAATTGAATAACAGTTGGATTTGTGTCCTTGAGACTAGGGATATTACACATCCTTTCAGAAGTTTTCTGATTTTTCCACCTACTATTGATATAGGTTTAAGTAATTTCACCCTCTGGTGCTGAATCTGGTATTTCTAGTGTAATAAAAGTCTCTGTGCCTTTTTTTCAGCAACACCTCCACAAGATCTCACCAACTCCCTGTTCCAGGCCTCTCCCCTACCTCATATTACAGGTGTTACAGGGCAGGTAGTGGAGGACCCAGAGGGGCTGCCGCAATAGAGAGAAAAGTTGGCTATATATTGACTTACATTTGGCAGGTTCAGCATGGACCTGACGAATTCTGATCAGTATGTGGCCATCCTCACCAGGGGCGGACTGACAACTCATGGGGCCCCCAGGCAATAGGGGATCATGGGGCCCCTGTGTCCTTGCCCAAACTTAAAAAAGCCTATGAAAAAGGTAGCAGGGGCATCTCATGGGGCCCCCTACTGTCCCCGGGCCCTCAGGCAGTGCCCGAGTTTCCAAATGGTCAGTCCTGATACTCACTCAGCAGAAGTCGATCCTTTAACTTCATATTCTATTCTTTCCTTCATGACTGATCTTGACAAATATTGATTAAAGTTCTGCTTGAATAATGTTCCTTCCCTCCTGATGCATATCTGTCTACTTTGATTGTCAAAAGTATATATACTGTTATTCCTCATAGTGAGGGCTTTACCATTGTTTATTAGGCTCTGGATAAGTTATAACACTGAATACAGAACTACTATGAGCCCCAATGTAGCCCCTTCTTTTGCAAATATCATCATATACCAGTATGAATGAATGTTACACCTATCCCTTCTTAGTGATAAGGTTCTATTATATAATCTGTACACTGATGATTTGCTATTGATCTTAACAGTTCCACAGAAAGACCTGATAACTAAAACTGACCAGAATAATGCTCTTTGTATCCCTACTGCCTTGACCCTTATCTGTATAGACTCTCAAATAAACTTCCTTGATCTCAACATCTATAAAGCCCAGAAAGATCTATAAAGTATGCCCAGAAACTGAGATCTTCTTAGATGCACTGTTGTACTGTAAACAGCCCAATCATAACACACATCAAGCACATCCTTCTTCCTGCATTCATGAAACAGTATATATTTTTTCTACTGTTATAGTTGCAATACATTTCAATGAGAGAAGTGACAGATTTACACTACGGTAACCACAACTGTTAGAACAAAATGAATGCTCAAAAGAGACGCTATGTACATTATTGTTGTGTCTGTGAAAACCAAAAGAAATTGGTAACCAGTAGTTCTTCACATCAACTTACATCACTGCTAGTCCTCTGATTCAAAAGGTGAGAAGGTCTTGTCTTGTCACTAGTGAGCAACAATTACTTTTTGCCAACTCCCTGGTACCCAATTGGGTTGCAATCCTAATGACCCCCTAGTATGTACAGAATTCTCTCCTTACAGCTCTGAAGGTACTGTATGTAATTGGCTCAGCCTAAATTGTGATTGATATACTTTGCTGTCCCTGTGGATTTAACCACCTTGGTGAGACAATAACTATGCTGTGTGAACACCTTCACAACCACAAATCTTCTACTTGTAAAGCAATCAACTTTGGCACCACAAATCAACCGGTTCCATAACATTTTCTACAGTTTAAACACTCTCTCAGGAGTCTTCACGAGTGTACACCATTCACATTTATACAAGATCTAGGATATTGGTTTTGTATAGATCCATTTGTTTACAAACAGAACAAAGCAGCTGGGAACCGTAATTTTTCTGGCAATCAAGGCCCCATATACACTAGCATTGTTTTATAGGCTCAAAAAACGCTGGATAAAAAACACTGGTAGTAGTATTTTAGTAGCGTTTTAGTAGCTTTTATAAGCGTTTAGGAGTGTTAGTGTTTTATCAACGGTTTTACATTACATGTAGGGAAAAAAAAGCTAGGAAAAAGCTGTTAGGTATATTTTAGTAGCATTTAAGAGCGCTTAGTGTTTTTTTTTCTGCCGGAAAAACGCTACCAAAAACTCTACAAAAATAAAAAAAAAAATTTCTGCTCCTAAACGCTAAAGATTGAAAAACGCTACTAGCCTAAAATATTGTGCATGGACACATAAGATAACACTATTAACTTCTAGGAGCAGAACAAAATGCTTATAACAGCTTCTAGGAGCTTAAAAAACACTAGTGTGCATGGAGCCGAAATGTCAGTGCTGCCGATATACTGTAGGTTGTATACATTGCACAGATGAGTCACTTCATAGGCAGGTCAAAGTATCCCCCAGGCATATTATTTAATGGAGTTTTGCATTTTTTTATATTTTATTTAAACATTTCTAATATTCCCCCCTCATGCCATTTGTTTGACAATTATTTGCATATTAGTCTAGAAAATTACCAGTATTGCTTTCTAACATTCAGCCCCCGTTGACTTTAATAGGGTTTGGATTTGGCACCAAAACCTTAATAATGTTCATCGAACCCTGCTCAAGTAAACTCAGGTACATTCATCTCATCACTAGTGTGGAACAACATGGTATATCCATGGGATTGAATGTGGATACTGTGTATAATATATATATATATATATATATATATATATATATACACACACACACACACACACAGTATATGTACATGGGATTGAGTGTACTGTACACTTTGCAAAGATAAACTATTGTAACTGCATTCTCTGCATTGAGTTAAAAATCTTGTGTGCAGCTCCCCCCTACCCCAGGTTCCCCTAAATACCTGAGCCCGATCTCACTTCAATGATGTGCCCAAGAGCAGCAGCTCTCTCTCTCTCTCCTCACTGAACATGGAGGCAGCAGTGGGAATCATTGGCTCTTGATGCTGTCAATCACAGCCTTTAAGGAGAAAGTGGGGGTGAAGCCTTGTTTATAGACACACAGAGTGCAGCTAAAGATTGTGCCCGCATGAGTGCCTCTATAGCAAGTGGCTTGTTAAGGAGGAACTTGGTGGGGAGGAGGAGCCAGGAGCACTTGCAGGGGACGCCAGAATAAGAGGATCTGGGGCTGCTTTGTGGTAAACCATTGCACTGAGCAGGTATGTATGACATGTATTTATTTTTAACAAAATTACATTTACAATCACTTTAATAAAAAGAGTAGGCAACAAAATACTTTGATATAATTGTTTGTTGTAGTATAAAGCAATGATGTTTAATATGGCTGTACCACTTTGTCCACAAAGCCTAATAGATAAAGCACAGAGGAAAACTTAGCACAATTAAGAGATCTGAGATGTACCTAATAGTCTCTAGTTAGTAAGCTGTCAAAAGTGGCCTTTAAGATGGGAAATTGATATTGATTATCACTGTAGTGATAAGTGAACCAAGTCTGAATTAGATCTACATTATTTTACATTCTTTTTTTGGAGCCTCTCATCCGTCAATGTCTTTCTTTCTTTATAGTAAGTCCGTCAAACAAAGCATTAATAAATTATTTAGCAAAGCAATACCATCACTTTTCATTTCTTTATACATGGGCATGTTTGCGTTTATTTGTTTTTTATAAATATTTTATTACATTTCAATATATCACATTACACCATTAACATTTTTAAATATTCAACAATACACAGTTCCCTCATACTTCTTTCTTCTAAAGAAGAACCCCACCCACCTATTCCCACCCCACTTTCCCCGTTCTACTCCCTGTTTTTTTTTCCATCTTTTCTCCTCGCTCCTCTTCTTTTCTCTTCTCTCTCAAGGCACCCTTCTCTTTCTTATCACCTCTCTTTTTTTTCTTTAAATTGCTCTTTAAACTTATCCCATTTCTCCCATTTTTTTCTAAATCACTCCATTCCATCTTCTTCCTGATGGTAGAGTTCTTCCATCTTGTATACAAAGTTAACCCTATTTATACAATCTTTTCTTTTTGGTATTTCCTGCTCTTGCCAGAATTTAGGTATCAACCCATTTGCCATATTTATCAAATGAAATGCCAACGAGTTCTTATATTTTTCTACTGTAGTTTTATGGAATAGGTATGTGCCTGAATCTTTTGAGACCTCAACCCCCATTATCTCCTGAATTAGATCAATTATTTCTCCCCAATACTCCTGAATTTCCACCAAATGTGTGCCATTGTGCCTTTCATCTCACACCCTCTTCAACATAAAGGTGATTTATCTATTTGTTGCTTATGTGCCACACTTGGTGTAACATACCACCTAGCAAAAACACTTATAATTAATTTCTATCACCCTCATGTCTACCGCTCCGCGTACTAATCTAAATATTTTCTTTTTCTGTTGCTTGTCAAATGTTATTCCGAGTTCCCTTTCCCATTTCTCCATATACAAAGGTGGGCCACCCCCCATCATTTCGGTAAGAATTTTAGAAACCTGGGAAGTGCCATGTTTCCATATTTTATTTGTATTAAAAAGTTGTTCTAATACATTTAAATCCGTCATTGGTCTTAAGAGGGAGCAAAATAACAAAATGTTTTAGTTGGAGATATCTCCACTTGTTTAACGAGGAAAACAACTCCTCCTTTTTTTTTATAACTCCTGAAAAGAGCAAATTATCCCCCCATCCATTATGTCTTTAACTGTGCATTCCCTTTCCTTATCCATTTACCCAAGATGTCTTCCCTCCCTGGAGGGAAGAAATCTGTGTCTACTAACGGCATCAGCATAGAATTGAACTCCCAACCCATTTATTTATGAATCAAATCCCATACCCTAATTGCAATTTGTGTATAAGTGCTTGTACTTTCTCCTAATATGCGATATCGATGTGGAATCCATACTATCTTATTCAATTCTGTCCCACTTAATGCATTTTCTATATTCACCCAACTTTTTCTTTGCATTATATGTCCAATCAAAAATATGTGAAAGTAACACTGAATAATAATACCTCTTAAAATCAGGCACAGTTAGACCCCACTTATCCTTGTCCCTACATAGCACTTCATAGCTTATTCTCAGTTTTTTATTTCCCCAAATATATCTCAATATCATTTTTTAAATTATTTTAAAATAGGCTCCCAGAAGTTGTATAGACAGCATATGGAATCTATATAGGATTTTTGGGATCATTATCATTTTTATCAAGTTTATTCATCTATCCAAGAAGATGGTCCTTCTCAGTTCCTCCGTTATCTTGTTTATTAGTGGGATATAATTAATTTTATATAAGTTCTTTAAGGACGAGGTCAATTTGTTCACCAGGTATTTTAAATTCTCTTTCTCTCCATAAGAAGGAAAATTCTCTAAAAAAATGTTTTCCATTATCGGGACATTAATATCTCTGATTTTACCGGGTTAATTTGTAGGTTTGACATATCTCCATAATATTCCATTATTTTC